AAAAAAAAAAAAAAAAAAAAATTCCTTGGAAGAAATGAATGAATGAGCGATATATTCTAACAGAATGATTTTTCTGTATGATAAACTCTCATGAGTTCACTAATGCTTATTTTTTAGAATAGTAGAATCAAAGCTATGTTCTTATTTATGTTCTTAAAGGGAAATCTGAAAGTGAAAGATTGTGTTTTGTCATTTTAAGCATAACCATTATCAAAGGGATGAAAAGCATATATCAAGTATTGTCCTAACTATGCTTAGCATTGATCAGGGCTCTGTCAAATAATATAAACAGGATTAATTCCTTCTATTAAATAATTTAGAGGGGCCTGCCACATAGCTCAGTGGACTAAAGTGCCTGCCTAGGCAGAGCGCAGCTGCCGGGTTCAATCCCCATCATGCCGTGTCAGCCCCGCCCCTCGGACACGCTGAGACAGCGATTGAGACTGGGCATGGTGGCATGTGCCTGTAATCCCAGTGCTTGGGAGGCTGAAAACAGGAGAATCACTATAAGTGTGATCTACATAGTGAGACCCTGTAGACCCTGTACTAAATACAATAATTATAATAATGATAATAATAAGCATAATAATAATTTAGAGAAATAAGCACATATATCAAGCCCAAAAGAGAAATGAGTGTTTATAATTTGGGGGAAGTTTGTGGGAGCAAGGGGTTAAGTGGTTAAACAGCTTGACATTCTATGACTGAGGGGAAACATCCCAGTACTACAAATCAATAGCCTTCAAATATGCAAAAATGTTTCATTATTATTCATGGTTACAATAAATAATGAATACATTCCTTGTGGGGAGTTGGTACCTCTACATAGTGCTCCTTTTTAAATTCCCCCTCCCCTTGCTCCTTCCTTTTTTTGTCTTTCCCTAGATCTCATCCCCATTTGTATGAGGTCTACCTCCCTATTTCCTACCATCTGTTGTTTATTACATCTTTTAAGTTATTCTTTTTTTGGATTTCTCACATAAGAGAAACCATAAAATATTTAACATTCTGTGTCTGGTTTATTTAAATCTTGGTGGTCTGAAATCTGAGGATAATGAAATAGTCCCGGTAATTAAAAATGTGTGCTCCTAAGAGCTGAAGTTATTGTGCTTTAACTGTGGTTGCAGAAAGGTTTATATGCTTTCTAATATAGGGGGTGAACAAAATTGAATATAATTTGAATTATTCTAATAGTTGCCATATGCTACTATTCTCAGTAATCTTTTACTAGGCTTATTGAGTCTTTTTTTCCCCTGCTTTTTTACTTTTTCTTTGTGTCAAGTTTCTTACCTTGACCAGTATTCCTCATGAAAAGAGGATATTTCTTAAAAGCTTTTCTAATGTAGATATAAAAAAGTTTTATATATATCTTAGTTACTTTTCTTATTACTGAGTCAAAATACCTGACATTGAAAGTTAAAGGAGGAAGAGTTAGCACAGTTTGTAGAGGTTTCAGTTCATACTTGGCTGGCGTCAAGGAAGGGTGGCGTGACAGAGGGGCATCACAGAAGAGAACCATGGCTGGCAGGAGATAGGGAAAGCAGGCAGCAAGAGACAGGAGACAAGTGGCACTAGCAGCTTCTTTCTGTCCTTATATCGTACCTAGGCTGCTCATGCCTAGGGTGTCTAGCTCTCACACTCAGGGTGGAGCACCCTTCATCCTACTCAGACTGTGCCAAACCGGACTGGACTAATTTAGTAATCTAATCACACACCCTTGATCCCAACGTCCCACAATCTAGATCTAGCCACCTCTGAAAAGCCCCACTTATGACTGCCTGAGGCTTCGAGGGGACATCTAGACATGAGCCAAAGCAGCATTTCCAAAAATAATGGAAGTAATGGATTATCACTTGAATTATTTTAATTCAGGGTCTTCTTTCTGATAAGATAGTATGCCATTAGCTATATACTATTGGAAAAGCTGTTTGCCTCATTCTAAGTTATCTTAAGCTGTTACTTTAAAAAAAAAATACTTCTCTCTAGTTTTTTTATTTTTTTCTTTTGGTATTTATTTCATACTTTGACCTAAATGTTACTATTTATGAAGGATTATGTTTTACCTCTACAGGGTTTTGTTTTTACTTCACAGAAAACAAATTGGTCACTAAGTTATCAGAACAAACTGTAATTTGCAGAGAAAGCAGGGGAAAGTATTTTAAGTATTTTGTAGGCTAGGCATGGGTCCCACTTGTCCATAAACTTGAGCAGCCAGTGTATTAATAATGAAGTCTGCTGAATTCTCATTACAATCACAGTCATCTGTGGTGGGGATAAGGTTAGGTCTCCATCTTATATAGGTGTTTAGACATCTTACAGACTAACTAGAGAATATAAAATAGCAAAACATTCCAGAGTTTTAAGAAGCTCCTGCCCCATCTTAGTTACAAACCATCTCTCAGCATCCATTTTGTACTTTCTACAGAAAATTTCCATTTTTCCTGTTTTAACTATTAGCTTGTTGTAAAGGTTTTGAGTACCAAATCCTAAACTTTACGTAGTGAGAGTGGCAATAAAAGAGATTGTTGTTGATATGACGTGCTTTCTTTAGCGTGGGTTTTTCCGTTTCGATAAAGGCTTTGTGCATTTGGAATATTTCATTACTTATTCATGCAAGTCAAATAATCATAAAGTTAGAACTTATTTTTGTATTTTCTTGGGATTGTTACTTGATGGCAGCCACTGTAACTAATATAGATAGTTCGTGACTTGTTATAGAGTGTATGGAAAGGGAAAATTTTCTAAATTTGTACTATATATAAATAGTTGGTTGTTATATCATTTAAAGTAGCCACCTTAACAGTAAGGTTAAAAAATTTATATATATATATATATATATATATATATATGTGTGTGTGTGTGTGTGTGTGTGTGTGTGTATAATATTAGTAGTTCCAGAAACCTAAGGAATAGTTAATAAACTATATCTTGAGACTATTAAAGGATACATAACATTTAGGGAAAAAAAGTGAAATTAAAATAATTTTATTTAAAACATTTTATTACTGA